ATTATTCCCATGCCAATGTTCACATAACTGTTGAAGCAAGGAATGCTAGGTCAACAGAAAAACTCCTGCACGCCAGATCTGAGCCATGAGCAGTGATAAGCACGAAGTGACGGCTTGCATGTCCTCCAATAACAACGCCTGCGCCGGTCAACATAACAACTTCTGCATGCAACATTTCTGCTTCATCAGAAGGGTTAGCCACGAAATGATTGCTTGTGTGCCTTGAAAAAACAACACTCAGGCAGTCTTGCAGTAGTTACCGAGTACAAGCAACTCTCCAAACATTTTTTATCAGCTCAACTTCATCGGATTCAGTGCGTCGCGCAAGGACTCACTGACATGTGAGCAAGCATTCGGACTCACTGACTTATGTCTCAGGTTCTGACCTCAAAACATGGATCATCTGCCTGCAGCCAGGCGCGAACGTTGAACGACAGAAGGAGCAAGTACAGATAGATCTACCAAATATGCAAACAGCACCAAGAATTACTCATGATGCACACATCAACCCCAAGAATTGACATGCGAAGACTCACTGAGGTCCAAGCTCAGCAGAACCACAACGTTACGACGAGCAAGGTGTTCCATTCAAGCACAACAAAAAGCAGAGAATCCTCATGGTCACGAACTGTGTATCCAAAACATCACCACGCTAAGCCCGCTCTCTCCTTGCAATCAGAACCTCCGTGCTCAAATGCGCGCACAGCATCAACAGTGCCTGTCAGACAGAGAATGAAAAACAAATACGCCATGACAACTTCGCGACACATTGACGCATCATCTGCTGGCCTGTGCCTGTCAAACATTGTTTGACCTGAAAGTTCAATGATAACAACATAGCTGCTGGGAGCAATGTGCTATCTACACGAAAGACTGCATATGCAAAAGCAAAATGACAGAAAACCCACGCAATCTTTCCGTCCACTCGAAGTAGCATTAGTGACGCTATTGCAACGCTTCACGGCTGCACACAGCTCTTTCACGGCGACAGCACGAGGTTGACCTGAAGCTCACATCATAACACGCATGCATATCAAAGCTCAAATTGTGGTCAAAGACTTGGACCCGCGGATGCTATTGCGCATGTTGCATTCTCCAATAAGCATCCCATATCCATGATTCATTTGTGATTTTCTTGAATGTATCCGCCGGTTGGTGGTTTCAATTGCTTTGAATAATATGATCCACTTCAATTTACGCATCGTCAAACTGACTCCGTCAAACTAAGTGACCAACAATGATGCGTCACACAGACTTGCCACTGCCCCGAGCGTCCGCAGGAGGGACACCACGGTCACTCAAGCTGTACGTCCAAAGACCTCAACACGCGGAATGGTAGGGACATCACCTATGACACATGTTTGTGTCTCAAAAACACTACATGGGCTCGAAATGACATACCCTTTTCTAGAGGCATGATCGGTTCATCAAGTCTTCAAACAAACTGATGATAGAACACGCACAAAAACATCAATTTCTAACTAACCCATATCATTCCATATCCATGATTCATTTGTGAATGTCTTGAATGTATCCCCCGGTTGGTGGTTTCAATTCCTGTGAACAATATGATCCACTTCAATTTACTCATGATCAACTTGTCTCCGTTGAACTAAGTGACCAACAATGATGCGTCACACAGACTTGCCACTGCCCTGAGCGTCGTCAATCAAGCTGTACGTCCAAAGACCTCAACCCGCGGAATGATGGACACATCGCTTGTCACACATGTTGCAGTCTCAAAAACACTACATGGTCTCGAAATGACATACCCTTCTATACAGGCATGATCGGTTCATCAAGTCTTCAAACAAAGTGACGATAGAACACATGCAAAAACATCAATTTCTAACTAAGCCAATATCATCCCATATCCATGATTCATTGGTGATTTTCTTGAATGTATCCCCTGGTTGGTGGTTTCAATTGCTGTGAATAATATGATCCACTTCAATTTACTCATGATCAAATTGACTCCGTCGAACTAAGTGACCAACAATGATGCGTCACACAGACTTGCCACTGCCCCGAGCGTCCGCAGGAGGGATACCACGGTCACTCAAGCTGTACGTCCAAAGACCTCAACACGCGGAATGGTGGACACATCACCTATGACACACGTTTGTGCCTCAAAAACACTACATGGTCTCGAAATGGCATACCCTTCTATACAGTCATGATTGGTTCATCAAGTCTCGTAAATAAACTGACGATACTAATAAAACAGGCATGATTGGTTCATCAAGTCTATCAAACAAACTGACGATAGAACACACACAAAAACATCAATTTCTAACTAACCCATATCATTCTATATCCATGATTCATTTCTGAATTTCTTGAATGTATCCCCCGGTTGGTGGTTTCAATTGCTGTGAATAATATGATCTGCTTCAATTTACTCATGATCAACTTGTCTCCGTTGAACTAAGTGACCAACAATGATGCGTCACACAGACTTGCCACTGCCTCGAGCGTCCGCAGGAGTGACACCACGGTCACTCAAGCTGTACGTCCAAAGACCTCAACCCGCGGAATGGTGGACACACCACTTGTCACACATGTTGCAGTCTCAAAAACACTACATGGTCTCGAAATGACATACCCTTCTATACAGGCATGATCGGTTCATCAAGTCTTCAAACAAACTGACGATAGAACACTTGCAAAAACATCAATTTCTGACTAAGCCAATATCATCCCATATCCATGATTCATTTGTCATTTTCTTGAATTAATCCCCCGGTTGGTGGTTTCAATTGCTGTGAATAATATGATCCATTTGAATGTAATCATGATCAAATTGACTCCGTCGAACTAAGTGACCAACAATGATGCGTCACACAGACTTGCCACTGCCCCGAGCGTCCGCAGGAGGGACACCACGGTCACTCAAGCTGTACGTCCAAAGACCTCAACACGCGGAATGGTGGACGCATCACCAATGACACATGTTTGTGTCTCAAAAACACTACATGGTCTCGAAATGGCATACCCTTCTATACAGTCATGATGGTTCATCAAGTCTCGTAAATAAACTGACGATACTAATAAAACAGGCATGATTGGTTCATCAAGTCTATCAAACAAACTGACGATAGAACACACACAAAAACATCAATTTCTAACTAACCCATATCATTCTATATCCATGATTCATTTCTGAATTTCTTGAATGTATCCCTTGGTTGGTGGTTTCAATTGCTGTGAATAATATGATCCACTTCAATTTACTCATGATCAACTTGTCTCCGTTGAACTAAGTGACCAACAATGATGCGTCACACAGACCTGCCACTGCCTCGAGCGTCCGCAGGAGTGACACCACGGTCACTCAAGCTGTACGTCCAAAGACCTCAACACGCGGAATGGTGGACACATCACTTGTCACACATGTTGCAGTCTCAAAAACACTACATGGGCTCGAAATGACATACCCTTTTCTAGAGGCATGATCGGTTCATCAAGTCTTCAAACAAACTGACGATAGAACACTTGCAAAAACATCAATTTCTGACTAAGCCAATATCATCCCATATCCATGATTTATTTGTGATTTTCTTGAATTTATCCCCCGGTTGGTGGTTTCAATTGCTGTGAATAATGTGATCCACTTCAATTTACTCATGATCAAATTGACTCCGTCGAACTAAGTGACCAACAATGATGCGTCACACAGACTTGCCACTGCCCCGAGCGTCCGCAGGAGGGACACCACGGTCACTCAAGCTGTACGTCCGAAGACCTCAACACGCGGAATGGTGGACACATCACCTATGACACATGTTTGTGTCTCAAAAACACTACATGGTCTTGAAATGGCATACCCTTCTATACAGTCATGATTGGTTCATCAAATCTCGTAAATAAACCCACGATAGAACACATACAACAACATCACTTTCTGACTAACGGTTACCATTCCTACTGACCGTTGGAAAAGGGTTCATGACTTTGGGTTACATTCTAAAAAGCAACGCGACTCAACATATCAAGGGTGGTCCATGTCAAATGTCATAGTGTAAATTAATTTTGCATCCGTAGCAATTCAAACTGCGTGCTAACCCGAACAACCTGTCCCAGTAAAGTCAACCGAGCGACGTGTAGACCACCAACAGAAGTGATGGCTACGAAAGAGCCATTTTGTGTTTCGTCAGAATCCCGTTGCGACAAACAGTCGCACGCTCTTGAAACGCTTCCAAGCGTTTTGCGATGCCAGCAGGTGGCCCCCGTTCTAGCAGCTCTCGAGGCGGTGGTCGAAATAAAAGCAAATCCGACAAGGAGGTGACCCGCGAAAACATGACATAAAGATGCAGCCACCAGTTGTCGTCATCCAATTCATTCAGGCGAGCGCAATCCACCACTGTGCCAGAACGCAATGTCAAGCCTTGCGAGCCAGTGCTCGTCAAGCAATGCGCGTGCGTCACCCGAAAGCCACATCTTCGGACTTCAAATTTATTGTACTGCACAACAACTTCTTCAGCTCGCAAGAAGTAGAAACTGCGGGCCAACTTCTCCGCTTCATCTGCGTTGCTTGAATGTTTATGACACAATGGCAGTAAGTCTTCCCAGTTGTTGCAACCTTGATAGTCTTTCACACTCACCAATAAACCAGACGGCAAAAATGCCGGCATGAATATTTCTCCCGGCCCAGTGTTCATGTATCGGGCGCGATCCGCCGGGTGGAACTCGAAATCCATGATGGTGGCCACAGTATCCTGCACGAGACCTTTCTCAGCGTCCAGACGCGCCAGCAGACGGATTTCCATTCCGGCAAAGCACGGCAAAATACCGTGCATCAGACCAGTCCGATATGGATTCGGTTGATTCAAGAAACGCAGACGTCTCTCACGGTCCATGCCCAAGCAAGTATCCGCTGCCTGCAAAAACACAAACGGCTGATTTCGTCGACTCGCATCCAAGATGACGCGTCGATAGAACATACGAATCAAGGAAGCCCAGTAGATGGACATGCAATAGCCAGAACGAAATCTGTCCGACTACAAGCGAGCATCTGCAACTCCAGGCAACTCATCGCGCACAACACGCTCTTCAAACTGCGCCCAAAGCCTGTCCGGCATGGCGTGACCAAGACGCATGCACTGCAAAATCTCAATCAGAGGATCCTGGGGTTGGAAACGCATCGTGCCGCGCAGCTCAAAGACATCTGGTATCTGCGAAAATAGTTTTTGCCCATGCTGCACTTCCAAAGGCACGTCTTGGTAAACGTATCTGCCATCTGCATCTTGCCCATCCATATCTTCAAGCAATGACATCTGCGCCGTGGGTCGTAACTGAAAAAAATCGCCCAAGTGCAAGACGATGGGCACGCGACCGAAAGCACAGCCAACTTTGGTGTAAGTCTGTGGATCCACCTTGAAAGCAACTCTGCGGCCCAACATAGAACGGTAATCAAGCATATTGTATAAGATTGCGGCAACCATGCTGATTTCCTCAATAATCAACACACGAATGTTCTTCCACATTCTCTCCAAAGCTTTTTCTTTCTTGCCCGCAGCCATCTGAGAGTTGCTTAAACTTTGGACGCGCATGCAGCCTGCCATATGCAACGTCTTCGCACGCACAGTCTCAGTGGATATGTTCTTGGCCTGTGCATTCTTTGCGGCAACCACCATCAAAGTCTCTTCTTCCTTCTTTGCCGGCCAAATAAAATGCACAACCGGAAAAATCAAATTTTGCACAATGTGTGTCTTGCCGGATCCACCTTGGCCCAATAACAACATGTGGTACACCGATCGTCGCTCCGGCGGCAGGTCCTGGTCCTCTTTCCATACCGTGTCCAAAACGTCTGCAAACCGTAAAATAAAGATATGTTGGTCTTCGTTGAGACGCCGATTCGACGGCAGATTTGCAACCATGTCCGACAGCATGTCCGAGGGATTTGCATAGATGTTCTGATCTGTGAAGCGAGCGCAATCTCGAGGTAGGCGAGGTAAAAGTTCTTGCATGATTCGCAGTCGACACACCGTCTCTCGCTCATCACTGTCGCGCGCCACTTCCTTCTCTTCCTGGAGATTCTCTCGTAGATTCCCATAAACATCTGCACGCTCATCCTAGCAAGGTCAGAACCTATACATAACTACAAAATATTGATCATTCCCGGAATCAAAGTCTACTACAGTTCGTCTCGTCAGCTCAACTTGCACTTGTGGGGGAAAAATAAAAAAGAAAACATGTCCTGATTCAACCGTGATAAATCGGCCAAAAGCAGTTCATGTCGTTGATGTTCACTGTTGCGACAAAGTGAAGCTGCTTCGAACGGATCGTCTTTCATCCACGTTTCCTGTAAAAACATCTTCACATATTCAGTCCGACGACCTTGCAGCTCAAATCGCAAAAGCTGTTTCTGTTCTTCTGCTGTGGGTTTCAAAGAAATGGGCGGAGACACTTCTTTTGCAGGAATTGCTTGCTCCAACATAGCTTCTACTTCCTCATCATTCTCAACACCGAGACCGTCATCATCACCTTCACCAACTGTGTGCACCTTCACATACTCCTCATGCAAACGAGCATCTTCGTCTCTTCTGCGCTTGGGTTTGCTCTGTCTGGCTCGCGCAAGGCCTTCCAGATTTGCAATTCGCTGTTGCGCCAGAAAAGAAGAATACATGGAGGCAGTGCATCGTGGCTTCCCAACATCGAAGTCTTTCTGCGTCGCCGGCAAGGTGCCACCGCTGACCAGCTGTAGCTTCTCCTCCAAGAGCTCCATCATTTCTTGTGTTTCCCACAAAGAAGGAAATTCAAATCTTTCAGCAAAGCGATGCCTGGCCATTTGGGCTTCTTCTTCCATGACAACCGCCCATTCCAAATACGACTGCGTAAAGGCTGTGTGTGCTCGCAGCGACTGGTCCACTTTGTCACCGGTTTCTTGTGGACTCGAAAAAGTTTTGAAAGCATTCAAAACTAATTCCTCCATCGTGTGCTGCACACTCTCATCAACCTGAACAGCCACAGGCCTACATTGTACTTGTTTGTACATAGCATTTCGCTCGCTGTCATGAGTCAGCGGCGGCATCGTGAAACCTTCAAACATCGGCACCCGAGGTTCACTGCAAATGCGTTGCGCGTGGGAGTTGTACAACTTGTAGGACGGATCAAAATACAGGTCCACGAACCGCGCAACCGCTGAGCGCACCGAAATCTCTTGCTGTGGCGGCAATTCGATCCGGTACACCCACGTTCCATATGTCGCCCAGCTCATGCCTGCGGAACAAACATGGGCCCGCTGCTTCCCCCTACAACATTCTTTGACAGCGGAACCAAAGTACAAACAAAAGAAAAACAAAAGCAAACCGAAAAAAAAATTACATGGGCCCTCCGCCTGCCAGCAAAGGATGACTGCCACGAAACAGATAATCCTCTAAGCTAGAGGTCGTCACTGCCAAAGCTTTGGCTTCTACGTTGCTGGTTGTCCTCACAGCACATTCTTCACCACTGGGTTGCAGAGATTGCAGGTTCGTGACAATGCTGGCCTCCGTGTCATTCGGAACCACCTCCTCCGTGACCGCATGAAGTTTCAGAAGCTCCTGCACATAGCTGAGCTGCTGTTGCGGATTCCTGCGGCTCTGACTCTGTCCTTGATACTCGTCAAATGCAGCGATGATGTCCACGCAAGCCTGTCCGTTCGGACCCACAAAGATCTCGTCCACAGCGCCACTCTCCGGATCCACTCGACGAACTCTTCTCCAGCCTTTTAGCACCAGATCGTCCACGCCAGGTCGACTGAAAATGACCGGCTCCGCTCCATCGCCCTTGTCAATAACATGCTGCAAGACGGAATGGCCGTATTGACGTCGCCAAGCTTCCACGGCAAAAAAAACTGCCTTTTTCACATAGAGTTTCCAAGTCCTGTGGGAAGCAAAGGTCAAATGCTGGAATAACAACGGAAAAATAATTTCAGCAGCACTCTTCCAGTGACAGCGGCGGTACGATGACGTCAGTCGCGTCAAGGTCCGCAGCGTATCAGCAAATATTTTGTTCCGGCGTCCTGGCAGATGTTCTCCAGCAGCATGAGCTGCTGCTTCCGCCGCTTTTCGAGCTTCTTCACGCTCTTTGGTTTCATCTTCCAGACGTTCGATGCCTCTTTGTAGTTCCTCCAACATGGTTGCTAGACCCGGACCTGGTTTCGTGGTGTAATTGTTCACATAGAAGCCGGTGTTGATGCCATCACAAAAAGCCTCATTCACACTGACGCGAATTGCTTGTGCCAAAGAAGTATCACCGCTGTTTGCAAAACTATCAGCAACATCGCAGGTCATAGGTGTGTCCGTCTGCGTCTCAGATGCCTCAGCGGGTGTCCCGCTCTCTGCCGCTTCTGCAAATCCAAATTTCAACCTGTACGCCCGACGCCATCCAGCGCGAAAAGATTTCGCCAACTTCCTCCGACACAACCAAGACACCGGGCCCGCAGGAGCATCTCGTCGAACATCGTAGCCCTTCCCAGTCCATTCATAAAAAGCCATATACCCCAAGGACGTCACAGCACCGACATGAGGAAGATGATCATCAGAATCCAACCACAAAACAGGGCTCACCACTCGCCGCATGTCCTGTAAGTCCAAATTGTGCCTCCCTGACACTGTGCCACCGTACGAACTTTGACATTCGAAAGGACTCAACTGAATCGGTCGCAACCGTCCTTCCATGCCATAAGCGCCCTCTTCTGCACCACCAATGTGTAAACAAGGTCGCAACGACTTCCCTTTGCGACGCACGCGGCAGCCATCAAACACGTGAACAACGTGGTAAAAGCCATGGCGACAAATTTTGAAAGTGGCAGAACTTTGATCCGAGTATTTGAAGCAAGATTTTGTGCAGACATGTCGAAGAAGCGAAGGCATCAAAGTATGCAAATCTTGCTGAAAGGCTTCCCGCCAAGCATGCGCGTCCAATTCTGGAACACTTGGATCACACAGCAAGGGCCGCAAGCGATAACTCGGAGTGGTTGCCACCGACAACTGGTTGATAGGTGTGGCGAAAATGCTCTGCAAGCCTGCTGCTTCCACTTCAACTTCTACTGTGGGTCGTCGCCAGTCGTCTTCAGAAACCAAAGCCAGGTACTCTTCTTGTTCTGCTGTCCTCTCTGGCAATTCCCGCAACAAATCCGTATTTACACAGATTCCGGGCCACCTCCTTGACTTTCACGGGCTTGTCCAAAGCGGTCGTTCCAAGACAACGTGGAGCCGCTTGCACAGAAGCATGTGAGATGGCTTCGAAACTTGCAACCGCAAGTTGCATGAATTCTTTCAGACGTTGTTGCAATTCCAGCTTATTTGTTCGCAACATTTCCGTCAGTTGACTCAACACTCCTAAATGTCCACAGACCAACCACACCAGAATGTGCGGGTGCAGGGAGCCGCGACATTGGGCTTCTATCTCACCACGAAACGCCAGCACCTGCTCCGGTGGACGCGGCCGCTGCGCCATCGCTGCACCACTCGCGGCACGCAGCCCTGACCGAGTTGCGGCGGCAGTCTGACGTCTCTGGTCGCACATTCAAAACATGCTGCAAAAACAACCTCATCAAAAGTTCAAACTGCAGCACTTGCCCAACCGGATCCTGCGCCAATCGGCGAAGCATGTCCCGATATTTTGGCAGCGTGGGCGCCATGTCGGCACTGATATGCCCAAGGTCAATTGCCTCACCCTGCACGACCAAAAGCAACGGATGTTGCGTGTCGGCGACATTCGGTGTGAGAAAAATCAAAGGTGGGCCGAAAGTCTCCATATAAGCGACTCCTTCGTGACGGCAAAACTGACGGTGACCATCTGTACCCAGCACGGCACTGGATGCTCCATGCATGGCCTGCATGGCATCCTTCACTTCTCTGGGAACCCCAGCATTGTTCAACATCTGATCTGCTGGAAAGAAGCACCGGTATCTTTGCTCACCCGAGCAGCTTGTGCCAACTTTTCTGCGGTGAGTCCTGCGATTGTTTTGGCAAAAGCCATGCCACCATTTTTCAAGAAACTGTATGACGCTGCACGTTGGTCAGTCAACCGACACACAGTGGCCATCATATGCAAAGCAACCCAATCACCAGTAAACCGATTGCGCACGGGACTCTTGTAATGATCATCCATGCTGTATTCCAGTTCTTCTCGCAAAAGCAAACTAGCAGCCCACTCATTGGTCGCCAACGGTGTCTCTCGCTCAAACAAGTTTCCAGCATCGCCATAACGCCACAGCCGAGGACGGGCCATCGTCCAAATTTTCCAGTCCCAAAGACTCAATGGCTTCTTTCCCCGAGCAACGACCAAATGTCCGGGCTTGTTCGAGTCAACTTGGCTAGTAGGCAGGGCGCCTTCCGTCGTCACACCGACTCCAGAAACCGCAGCCTCAGTGCCACCTGTGGCTACACCACTCGAAACCGAAGAGGACGAAGATAAGAACCAACGAGATTTGCTCATAACCGCATCCCGAAGCTCCTCTTCCAGTTTCCTCCTCAAATCTCCTGCCGACAGTTTCTGACAAGACTCATGAATTTCTTTACAGAGATCCAAGATACGCTGTCGACCGACATGGTCTACAAGCGTTTGTTGCTCATCGACGAAGGTCTCCATCTCAACAGCAACTGATCGCGCACCTGCTGCCTCTAATTCTTCCAATTTTTGCAAAAGAGTCACGATCCGACTGCAGACATCGTTGCGACCTTCGTTGAAATCAGACACTTCAGGCTCCATGGCAAAAACCACCGGCTCCTCATCGGGCGTCGTGCGCTGCTCTGTTGCACCAGCCGGGCCCTCTTGTCGCATCTGTCCGGGACCTCCTTCTCCCACAGGAACTGTCACAACGCAATCCAAAACGGGCTGCGGAACTTGTTGATCGAGCCACTCTGTCAGCAACTCTCTGTTGATCTCAGTCACACCAGCTGCATACACTGCATTGGTTTCTCGCAAGCTGGTGGCTTGTTCCACAAATAAACTCTTCTGCAACTGAAATTGCGCAATGCTGCGAACTGCAGCTTGGCCTTCTTCCTGTCCTTGT